GGAGAAATCTTTAGAAGAACAGCTGAACAGTTATGACCCACTTTTCTTTGATATACATATATAGATATCTATAAAATAATGACGCTTCTGCTGATTTAAATACAAACTTTATGGTTAAATACAGAAAAGCAGATGTTGGACGATATCTACAGGTTTTTTTTTAGCCATTGACTTTTATTAAATAAAATAACGGCTAAAACTAAATTTAGCATCTTTAATATACACGTTTTTCTTTCTAATATCAGTGAAATAAAAGCGTTTTAATAAAAAGAGTGTAACCTAAAATCAGCTGTTGGTGCGATGAAGAGAAACTGTTCCAGGTTTCTGAATTGTGTCCTGGAGGATCTGCTCGGGCTTCAGGTCTTCATCGTTCTGACTGGAACGCCGACTGGAACAATCAAGCGCGGATTATTTTCTTAATTATCAGAAAACAGCGAACAAGGCTTATCAGGGTTTTCCAGAGCCGACGTCGTCGTCATGTTCACACCGAGGAGTGAAAAAAAAAGCTGCAGATCTTTACAGCTTCAGCTGAACCATTAATTATTGATCAAAAACGTTGCTGACTGCGTTTTTTTTCTTTTTTTTTCTGCTAATTTATCGCCCGAGACCGTTTAATGACCGAGCGAGCTCCCATCAGCGGCTTCGTCGTCGCTGCTTCAGGTTGTGTTGTGAGGGATTATTTATGGAAAGCCAGCTGAGACGCAAATAGCGACGAGGCAAGGTGTTCCTGGGAGACGAGGAGACAAAGGAGGACGAGGGGAGATGGAGAACAAAAAGATAAAAGGATGAGAGCCGAGCGAGAGAGGCCAGAGATGAAAGCAGCCGGCGCAGCGGCGTCATTAAAATAATCATGTATAATTGAAGGAACATTTCCATAGCCGGCCGACTGCTGGGAACGGAGCTGCAGGAGGAAATGTGCCTCGCTGCTCAGCATCCAGGTAGCAGAGGCCCGCCGTGGCGCCTCACGACGGGAGGTTTGAGTCCAGCTTGGGCTGATTTCATCCTGAGCTGCTTCATTTACTCTGATAGTTTTTACAAGGATGTGCTCAGAAAAAGGATGTCTGTGAAGGTTCCCAGTCCTCCAGGTCACGGTAGTTTCATCACAGCAACTGGACCTGCTTGAGTTCCTTGAAGACGTTTCATCCAAGAGGCTTCATCAGCTCTGAGCGACTCGATGGGAGTTCCACATACTGAAGGAGATGTTAACATCTGAGTCTGGGGTTGGTTAGGGTTCCATAGAGGTTTCATCTTCATTTTGATGAACCCACATCCACACCACGCCACCAAAAACCCTAACGAACCCCTTTGCGGCAGGGGGAGCACTAACGACTCACATAACGAGGGGGAGGAGCAACAAAGCCCCGATTGAAACTCAGGTGTTTCTGGCCCCTTCAGGATATCAGTACCTGGAACTCCCAACTAGTCAGTCAGAGCTGATGGAGCCACTTGGATGAAACGTCTTCAAGGAACTCAAACAAGTCCAGCTGTTGGGATTAAACTACGAGTATCGTAAAGATCATCAACACCTCAAAACGATCATTTAGGAGCATCTGTAAACTGTAGCGTCCAGCAAACATTCTGGGTCCACTTTAGGTGTATTTGTCCTGCAGGATTTCACGTTTTGCTTCGATGCCAGGATGTGTTCGTGAACGCAGCGCAACATGGAAGTGAAAACGGTAAACAGTCGTGACCTCGGTGATGTCTTCATATCCGGAAAAAAACTAAGTATTGCGTTGTCAGTGTGCTGTCACAGAGGAGGACGGAAACCAGAAAGTATTCACATTTACAAAGCTGGAATGAGAGAATTTTGCTTCTTTTTAAAAAGTGCGTTTCATAATCGCTGACAGCTAATTGGTTAATCGCTGCGGCTCCGTTCCCGTCGTGCTACGGTTGCCCGCTCAGCAAATTCCGCCTCATTGGCGACAGTTTAAAGGCCTCATCACGCCTTAAAGTGTGTAACGGAGCTGCTGGAATCCTCCCTTAAACCTGCACGTATACCAAAGACTCCAATTAGCCCACGTGGGTGATATCCACATGGCCAAGGTGTCCACGGTGAATGTGCTGCGTTTGAGGACGGTTGGATATCTGTGAAATTAGCTGCAGAGGCTCAGGAGGATGACTCACGACGCCGGGGTTACCGTCAGGTGTAATTTGCACGCTACATCACTGAGGTACAGACGTGTTACAGCGTTTTCCTGCAGTGAAATACCCAGCCGTGTTGATCCAAGTGGTGATTTAATGTCCGAAAGTTGTTATTAAATGCTCGTGTGGTTCCGCCTCGTGGAGGATAATTACTGTGGAGCATCGCGTCCATTACATGCGACCTTTTCACCTCACCTGTAAGTGGAACTTAATGTGGAACTGCTCGCCGTGGAGCCGGCGGCGCAGTAATTCAGCTGACCATGACTGAATATTAGCTGCTCACTGGGGGCTTCAATTTGTTGGAGCTTAAGCTTTTTTTAAAGCTCCTGCATATCATTTACCTCCAGCACTTACAAAACCGACTCCCTCTATTCCTGGTGGAGGGAGCAGGCCCGGCTCACGACATGTTATTCACTTTGGCCTCAGTGTGGAGGAGCCGGGCCTGGGTTTAACCGTGACCACGTCTGAGGTTACATCACGTTTAGATGACATGAAAACACTGCACGCTTAACGCCTTTGCACCAATTAACCAAAACCTTGCTCCTAGAAACCTTTGCGGTGCAGGAGGAAGCTTCCGACTGGGTTTTCTGGAGGAATGTTGCTTTGTTCGTTGATGTCTTTAAAGCGTTTGGCTCAATGGATCATGTTGTTCTTTTTGAGGACATTACATCAAGTGGGTTTAAAACAAATGCAGGGATCTGGTTTTATCCGTCTTGAATAGAAAAAAGGAGTTCCACAGGGCTCAACACTGGGTCCTATTCTGTTCACACTGTATCAAGGATTCAAGGCCTGTATTGGTCACAGACTCAGTTATACGTGGTGTAACGCGCAGTAAAAGGCTTTGTGCACCTGTTCCACACCGAAGCAATATTAAAAAGACAAATAAGAATAGAGAGAAAAAAATTATACATGTTCAAACTGGTAAAATGTAAAAAATGCAAAAAAAAAGTAAAAAATGTTACGCTCGCAAAATGTAAAATTAAATGTTTTTTTCCACTTGCAAAATGTACTTTTATTTTTATTTTTTACATTTTGACACTTGCTAATTCAGACACTGATGCATTTAAATGGAATGACCCTTTAACATGCTCTTAGACGAGACATGTTTTTATTGTTTTATCTTCTATTTTATATTTACATATGTAGTCTTACTTGATGCTTTTTTTTATGCGTGGGCTTTGTTAAATGTTGTTTTTATGATTTCCACTGTGTATCTCAGGTCATTGTTGTAAATAAGAGCTTATTTAGTGCTTAATATTTCAGAACAAATCAGTTCATCGGTCCATCTGCTCAGCAGCTTCTGTTGCTTTTCCTACATCAGACCCAAACTGTTCATCAAAAGGAAGCATCTTAGGATTCAAATCTTTCTCTAATCAGAGCGCAGAACATGCTTCTCTCCCGATGTTGTTGCTATTGATTCTTCTGGGGGCGGAGACGAGCTTTGCTCCTCGCTACAGAACCATTGATCCGATATTGAAACAGCTAACGGGAGCGACGCTCTTCTTCTGCTTCTCTTCCCCTCTGCAGGTGATTTACGCCCTCAACACCAAGAACGACGAGCACGAAGAAGAAATCGAGTCCCTGAAAGAAGCCCACGAGGACGAGGTGCGGACACACAAATCACCATCTCAATCATATCCTGCTGGGGTTTCAGTTGATCCCGACCCAAAACCTAAACCCGTCTGTACCTGGAGCCTTTATGAAGCTGTAAAATGAGACCAAACCGCCTCCAGGTCACCGACGACTTGCTCACACTCGCTCAGAGCAGCTTGTGCTTCAGCGTATAAATGTTTAAACCAGATCAGATGTACGTATCTCCCATAGACTGAGACGCAGAGGTCAGGAACTTCCCCCAAACGTGCTCAGCAGCATGGAGAAGGTGATTTTTACAGTTCTGGCGTAAAGCGTCTCTGAGATACTTTCATTTAGAAACAGACAAAAAAATCACTTCATTGAGACTGATGCAGTTTTAGCTTCATCCTTAACACGCATTCCTGCAGAAACTACTACGAAAGCCACCGCTGGGCTGGAGAGACATGTTGCTTCTACAAAATCACACCATTTATCAGAACCAGAAGCTGTAAAAACAAAGAGAATCACCAGTATCGTATCTTCCTGAACTTCCTGTTTAGTCGAGAAACCGAAGCTTCGAATCGTGACATCGGATGAAAATCAATTTATTCAGCGTGTCACATTTAAAAATTCACGAAAAATAGGCCGTACGTTTTAACCAGATTCTGTAAAAAACAGAAAATTCTCTGCTCTCTGTTGCAACCGGGAAGCCATGAGTGACTCGGCTGCAACCAACTTTCACTTGGCAAAAATTGAGGGATTATTCGGCTGGACAGCAGTTTGTTTTCCCCTGTATTGACAACGTTTGTTGGAAAAATGTTGTACATGTTGATTTCAGGTCTTTTCTATTTTTGTAAAATAGTAATAAAAGCAGGATTCGACTGTTGTTTTAACCTTAAACACCTCAGAGAATCCGAATAGTTGAAATATATTCGATAAAACTACCTCTTTTCTTTTGTCTTTCTTCCAGAGAGAAGCTTCAGTGTTTTATGGTCCAGGATGTCAATTAAATTAGTGTCGCGCTCAAGTGTTAAATTAAAATTATTCTCCGCTGCCAACACTGTTTCTTGGAGGCAGCAGTGTTTGTGCTCAGCCTCGTTTGTTTTCCCTTTAGTTTTTTTATGTCCACCTCCTCTGTTTGGAGACAGCCTGTAATCGAGCAAATATGCTTGATAGTGTGTTTGCTTTTTTCTGGCTGCATGTCTCATCCCCAAACGTTTAAGATGTTTGCCGGCTCTGTCTCCCCTCGCTCAGGTCCAGCACATCGTGACGGAAACCAGAGACAAGATCATGCAGTACAAGAGCAAAATGGCGGACGAGGCGGACCTGAGGCGGCGGCTGGCCAGTCTGGAGGAATCTGTCGAGCTCCACGAGCACATGAAGAGACAGGTCATTCGCTGCTGCTGGGCTCCACGGCGGCTTCTGCTTACTGAGGCTTTGTGCATAAAATGCGGCACGCTGGCATTTTCTCCTTGTTCCATTATCCTCGTGTCATGTTGTGCCATCGCAGCCGTTAAAAACTGTAATTGTTAAAGTGAGAAACTGCGAGGCGTCCAGTAATCGCACCGAGCTGCGGCCTTATCTTTTGCCCGGTGCTCCTCCCTTTGTGTAACGCTTGTGATGTGTCGTTGCTGCCAGGCTTTGGCGGAGTTCGAGATGTACCGACAGAGGATGGAGGATTCGCAGCTCTGCACCGAGGCCCAGCACACGCAGAGAGTGGTTTCAATGAGCAGAGAGGTGAGGCGCCGCTCAACACACTCGACGAACACGCACAAAGGTGTTTAGTGCGGCGCATGCTCAACTACAACTGAGTGCCTTGTAAATTAAATTATACCGACTAGCACACAGCGTTCCAGTGAAGGTTATTAGATCAGATTATCAGACATGTATGTCGAGAGACGTCAGCGCTTCGTACATGTATGTTAAAGGAACACTACGTAACTCCCGACCCAAAGGTTCTGCATCACTTACTGCATCGATACGGCTCGTGTTGATTGATTGCTTTTTAACATTAAATCACCTTCTGTTAATTTTGGCTGTTTTAACAAGAGTTTACAAAAACAAAACAAAAAATATGGGAAAGTGTTGTTGGGTTGTAGGTGTTGAACCCTTCAAGTCAGCGTTTAGTAGATGCACCTTGGTCACAATCCTGCTTATACATTAAATCTATATATTAGAAGCTTATATTAAATCCTGATTAGAGGTCACCAGAGGCCATGTGATAGACTCTGAAGTCAACTGGAAGAACGGCCATCACCTCAGTGAAGCACGGTGGTGGCAGCATCATGATGAAGCACGGTGGTGGCAGCATCATGATGAAGCACGGTGGTGGCAGCATCATGACGAAGCACGGTGGTGGCAGCATCATGACGTGAAGCACGGTGGTGGCAGCATCATGACGAAGCACGGTGGTGGCAGCATCACGATGAAGCACGGTGGTGGCAGC